GCAGCTGTAATGAAACAGTGACAGCTAAACCTCAGTAACCAACAGCTGTAATGAAACAGTGACAGCTAAACCTCAATAACAACAGCTGTAATGAAACTGTCATAGCTAAACCCCATTAACAACAGCTGTAATGAAACTGTCACAGCTAAACTCCATTAACAACAGCTGTAATGAACTAGTGACAACTAAACCTCAATACAAAAATGTGTAATGAAACAGTAACAACTAAACCTTAATAACAACACTGTAATTAAATAGTGACAACTAAGCCTCAATAACAACAATGTAATGAAACCATATCCAGCTATATCCTTGGAAAGCAACTGCACTTCGAACTACTTGTATCTATAACTATTTTTAATAACAGAATTAAAAGTGCTACAAAACGTTAATCTGCTTCCATTACAGTATAAAACAAAACTGTTACCTGTAAGCTAGCACATAAAGCTTCGACACATTCGTTCAGCAAACGTTCCACATCCTGTATGCTTAAACATTCAAATTCAAAGTATTCTGGGTCATTCTGTCGTGGATCCGTTTGATATATTTCATTATCATCAAGGGTATTGTAGTAATCATCATAGCAATCGTCCTCACTCTCTTCTTCTATCTCAACATCTGAATCAGACATCTGGAATCATAATACAGCTGTGATGTATCTAATTGTAGATAATGGCATATTAAAACAGAAAATTTCAAACTTAAGCTCCATTAATTTCCACACTATTCTTTAACAAGTCTTGAGAGACAGAAAGCTGTCTTCCACCCATATAAACTTTCTTAGAGTTTACATGTAAATCATCTGTGAATAGCTTCTTCACACTCACATCTACCAAAATGTGACAGCTTTTGGGGACAACTCTTCTCAGAAATAAATGGACAAATTCTTACAAGTGCTACACTAGGTTCTATTTAGTTACAAAAGAATAAATTTCAAATATAGTTATGCACTTTGAGGAAACCTAGCAAGAAAATAAAGTACTACACTGGTCAGTGAAAAAGATCAAAACTTTCGTAACATAGATTTAAATAAAAAAAGAGAAAAACTGTCATGTTAACCCAAGATTCTGAACAAAAACGGACTAAATAGGAAAGTAAGTAAATCTTCTCTAGCAAAGTGCTCAAGATGCATGAAGTTCTCACAGATAAAACAAATTTAAAATAAAGATGGCATGAAAATCTCACAGATAAACCAACTTTAAAATAAAGATGGCATAAAGATCTCACAGATAAACCAACTTTAAAATAAAG